TCTTAATCGTCTTTCTTAGGAAACGCAATGGGGTAGATTCAATACATTTTAAGGATGATTAGGCAGGAATTTTTCAACATCTTGGATTTATTCTAAATTTACAAGTATTATGCCTAAAATAGGCTGCCAGATTTCTTTCATTTATGCTAATTTTCATTAGGAATGATTTTAAATCTTAATCGTCTTTCTTAGGAAACGCAATGGGGTAGATTCAATACATTTTAAGGATGATTAGGCAGGAATTTTTCAACATCTTGGATTTATTCTAAATTTACAAGTATTATGCCTAAAATAGGCTGCAAGAGTTCTTTCATTTATGCTAAATTTCATTAGGAATAATTTTAAATCTTAATCGTCTTTCTTAGGAAACGCAATGGGGTAGATCCAATACATTTTAGGGATGATTAGGCAGGAATTTTTCAACATTTTGGATTTATTACAAATTTACACGTGTTATGCCCAAAATAGGCTGCAAGAGTTCTTTCATTTATGCTAATTTTCATTAGGAATAATTTTAAATCTTAATCGTCTTTCTTAGGAAACGCAATGGGGTAGAGCCAATACATTTTAGGGATGATGAGGTTGGAATTTTTCAACATTTTGGATTTATTATAAATGTACACAAATTATGCCCAAAATAGTCTGCAAGAGTTCTTTAATTTATGCTAATTTTCATTAGGAATAATTTTAAATCTTAATCGTCTTTCTTAGGAAACGCAATGGGGTAGATTCAATACATTTTAAGGATGATTAGGCAGGAATTTTTCAACATCTTGGATTTATTCTAAATTTACAAGTATTATGCCTAAAATAGGCTGCAAGAGTTCCTTCATTTATGCTAATTTTCATTAGGAATAATTTTAAATCTTAATCGTCTTTCTTAGGAAACGCAATGGGGTAGATCCAATACATTTTAGGGATGATTAGGCAGGAATTTTTCAACATTTTAGATTTATTATAAATTTACACGTATTATGCCCAAAATAGGCTGCAAGAGTTCTTTCATTTATGCTAAATTTAATTAGGAATAATTTTAAATCTTAATAGTCTTTCTTAGGAAACGTAATGGGGTAGATTCAATACATTTTAGGGATGATTAGGCAGGAATTTTTCAACATTTTGGATTTATTACAAATTTACACGTGTTATGCCCAAAATAGGCTGCAAGAGTTCTTTCATTTATGCTAAATTTAATTAGGAATAATTTTAAATCTTAATCGTCTTTCTTAGGAAACGTAATGGGGTAGATTCAATACATTTTAGGGATGATTAGGCAGGAATTTTTCAACATTTTGGATTTATTAAAAATTTACACGTATTATGCCCAAAATAGGCTGCAAGAGTTTTTTCATTTATGCTAATTTGAGACACTGGAACCGTGAAAATCACGCCAACTAGGCACATCTGGAACTGGACCCTGTACACTTAGCTGTGGAAGCAGAGGATCGGAACACGACTAAATGACCCAGCCCACCCAAGGTATTACTCCCTCTGTTGTCAGGGCCAGGATTAAGACTGGGTCGCAACAAGTAACCGGAATCAGACAGTCCAGGGCCTTTCTAACAGGGCTCCTTGACAAATCGGGAGAATAGAAGCTAGATTAGGAAGATCACCGGTGGCCTTACCTGCATAACATTGGGCTTGTGGAGGAGCCCACGTGCAGGTTCTGTGCCTTGATCAGAGCCAGAAATCAACTCTTTGGAGACAGATATCTGGAATCCGGAAGGGTGAAGCAACTGAGGCTAAACAGGGTGGAACGTGCTCTGAACCCGGTTGCGAAAGATAAGGGGTAGACACAGTGGGCTTTTGGTGTGCCTAAGTGCTGACCGATCGGTTCCCCCTGCGAATCTGCCAGACTAAGGCGACAGTGGAAGGAAGATAAACAAATCACTCACTGATGGAATAGGCAACCAAGGACGCAAAGAGATTTACAAAGACTTCACAACCAAAAGCTAAAGATATCTGAGAACAAGTAAGGGTGCTAGGGGATTAAGTGATTGGTAACAAAGAACTGACCTGTACTCGGTTTCGGTACAAATAAACGTTACCTGCAGGAGATTGTTTCCTTGCCGCTCGAAACGCTTTGAGTTCGGTCGCGACGTGTAGTACCCGGTCCAGTACGTGTTTTTATCGGTTGCGTACGGCATAAAGTCATGGGTCTCCAAAGTGAACTCGAGCTTTTTACGCTGAGCCGATTCGTGGACAGCGTTTACGTAGCACGAGGGCGTGGAGTAAATCATGTTAATCTCCGGGTGGAACTCTTTGAATCCCCTAAGGTTTGGAAGTGCGTCAGAGATGTCCCCTAAAAGGGCGATGACTTACTTGATGAGCAGATCAATGCTGTTGTAATACATTTCAGCGGCTGCGAATGTGAAGTCGCCCCCCATTGTTATAAGGATGTTGTTAGTCGAGTACTTAGAGGCTTGCGCTATTATTCTATCGTGGAATTCCTTGACCTGCATAAAGAGAGCTGGGGTTTGTAACAAAACATGAATGTTGTTCTCACTCTTTGATCGGCATTGTAAGATCGACTGGTTTTGTCATCATTAATACGTTCGTCCCCGCATTGGACATCCCAGCAGAAATTGTAAGGAGCGTTGTAGTTCTCATAGAGCATACTCGTGAAGATATCAGATTGCGCACCTGCAAATCTACAGTCAGGAAACCGCTGAGAGAAGTAGTGCGTTACCCAGGTCGGAGCTCCCTCTCCAAACAAACTCGGTTCTTTTGTCAGCGTGACGCGCCTCGTAATCCCTGTAGTCCATCCTCCAGAAGAACAACCCATCAAATCCAAGCTCGGCGAAAACCGTAGCCATAGCGTTCGTGTGCCCGAAGGGATCAATTTGCCAACCGACACGTGGCCGCCCGCATTTCCCCAACAGATCCTCCAAAGTTCGCAAGCCCAACGTCATTTGGTCAATGATCGACTGGTAATTGGTGGCGGCCTCGTCGTTCATGCTCCAGCCACCGCTGACCATCTCCAGCTGCCCGCCGTTCACGAGCCCCCTTACCATTTCTCTAAGTTCGGGCGTCTGCCCATCCCACCACCGCGAAAAGTACGACGTCTCCACTTGCGAAAACCTGAAACAGTTTATCACTCACGGACCAAAATCGGGCATCGGCGAACCTTCGATTGGGGTCGTCTTTCAGCGCTTGCACCACCGAGTCGAGAATGCTCTGAACGGCACGAACCCCCCGGTGCTCGTACTCATTCGCTGAAAAACAAATTGCCAACATTTTCACACGGCAACATCCACTTACTCCCGAAGTAGTACTGGTCGTACGTCTTCTTCCACCCGACATCGTCATGCGAATGGGGGATGATGTGGACGTTCAACTTGCCCGGGTCGATTTTGTGGCAGGACTGAAAAGTTCGTTCCATATGGTTAGACGAACTGAAGACTTTTCGCTCACCTGATAACCGCATTTTGGACCTGGCGCTACAAAATCATCGGTTGGCGCACTGAGGGCCGAACCAAGCAAGCAAACCAGAAGAACGTGGAAGAGCATGGATTCGAATAAGCGTCCACTTCTAAATTTTTTTGCGATTTAATGGAAAAATAATTATATCAAGAGCTATATCTTATCGATGAACTGATAAGATATTCCTGAGTATGCCTTGGCATCCAGGTTGATATGAACCCACCTCTGTCCGTAGCGGTCCTTTATCTTTAAGTGCTTTGTGGCAATCTCGCGCCATCGTCAGCAAGATGTATTGTTTTCAACACACGTGGGGTAGATTAAAACTGTTTTGTAGAGTTATCGTCCTCAAATGATAATAAACCGGATGACACTTTTTTCATTGCCTAATGCTCAAATTTGTACGTTAGTCTTTTGTCTAGAGAAATAAAGAGAGAGGAAGGCCCTCCAAGAAGAGGAACGGACGCTTGGAAGGCTGATGTGTAGACATGGCCAAGGGACATTAGATATCATAAAGGTATACAACGAGAGGCTGCTCAGCTTGGGATGGGATTGGGATGTGGCAGTGTACGTTGGGGAGGTCCACGCCATGAAAGAGGAGACGACTGAAGAAGTTATGATCTTCCATCCCCGATGAGTGGACATACTCAGGTTAGGTTAACAGAGGTCTCCAGAGCGAATAGTCGCAAGATCCTGGCAACAGTTTGCGATATGAAAGACGTAGGGCACCCAGGCGAGATATCCATGACGGCACCTATGGAAGACAGAGGCGGAAATCCCCTACTGAGAGACCGTCAAGACTAGAGGCCATACTTATCAAGTTAGAAGAGTATGACAGCTACGAAGACAGGCGGCTAATACTCGAGTGGAGCGCGACCAAGAAAGGCGATATTTTAGTTGAGGTGGAGAGGGGTGCCGGAAAGGCCGAAACAGTTAGGAAACTGAAAGAATAGTGATGGAGGGGAACAAGGTTACGGTACTCCTAATAGAGATAAGGGACCTCGGCGTGGTTACCGGGAAAGAGGAGATAGAAGAGGCAACCAACCCAAGACCAAGCCGCGCCAAGGTTCACTGACGCAAATTTTCGTTTAGCCAAATAAACAGGATTTATTCATATCTACCTAATACACTAAACATACAACAACTAACAAGGCTATACCCGGAATGCTAAAGCTGCCGGTTCCTGATCCACCAGAGCCAGTTTGGTCAGTACCATTTGACTGACCAAGGGGCTTCACGTTTAGGATAAACGTCCGTATTTCCATCGGATTTAGGGTAACCTTTAAACTCCCTTCCTCTTCTCTGGTGAGCGTATTCTCTAGTTGACCTTCTTTGATTGGAAACTGTAGTCGTACGTTGTCCGCCTTGGGCTGGTTAGCGCCCAGAGTAGTCTCTTTAAGTGACACGATCTCGTATAAAGTCAATAAGTCCTTCAGGTCGACTGTCACCGGGCTCCCCAGATTGACGTCGTCGCCTTTGCTGAACGGATGCTCGAGTCTGAGGAGGAGACGGTTGGGTGCCAAACTTTCCAACGTGAGAAGGCGTACGTTGTCCGGCAAGGAGCGTGTAAGTCCAGAGAACTGGAAGACTCGCGTTTAAAGAAAGATTTGACTACTTCAGTTTCCCCCACCTGAAAGCACATCTTCTGCCTTAGAGTCGTGATCGAGTGTTCTTCGGATAGGAAATTACCGACGAAGGTCCAGGGTGACAGTAGCAGCCGATGTGCTAGGTTTACCTGCTGCACGGGTCCTGAAAGTACTTGAATGTGCTAGGCGAAAACAGAGCTGGGCAGTATTCGATTTTGTAAATACTTTTTAGTATTCAAATACTTTGTAATTAAATACCTTTATGGAAGCAGTATTTGTATTTGTAACTCAAATACTTTCACAAATACTTAGTATTCGAATACTTCGCATAGTATTTGAATACTCGACCTTCCTTTTTTTACCAAAAATTGACTGCACCAAAATTTCTCGGGAAAACACTTTTTCTTATTAATTTTGGTGCGTAGAATCCAAAACAATTCGTACTTTTTCGGTCAGACTTCTCAATCAAAAGTTATAGACTAGAAACCAATTTCGAAAAAAAATTCAAAGGCCTGTAACTTTTGAACTAGTTGCCCAATCTTGAAACTGTTTAAAATTATGGATTCTACAGGTCACATTCTATTAGAAAAATTTTTTCCGGATCGATTTGAGACAATTTTTTCTTCGTGGCTCAAAAAAAGGCAGTGTATAACCTTCCTTTTTTACCAAAAATTGACTGCACCAAAATTTCTCGGGAAAACACTTTTTCTTATTAATTTTGGTGCGTAGAATCCAAAACAAATCGTACTTTTTCGATTAGATTTTTCAATCAAAAGTTATAGACTAGAAACCAATTTCGAAAGAAAATTCAAAGGGCTGTAACTTTTGAAATAGTAGCCCAATCTTAGAACTGTTTGAAATTATGGATTCTACAGGCCACATTCTATAAGAAACTTTTTTTCCGGGTCGATCTGAGACAATTTTTTTTGCTGGCCTCTAAAAAAGGCAGTGTATAACCTCCCTTTTTTTACCAAAAATCGACTACACCAAAATTTCTCGGGAAAACACTTTTTCTTATTAATTTTCGTGCGTAGAATCCAAAACAATTCGTACTTTTTCGATCAGACTTCTGAATCAAAAGTTATAGACTAGAAACCAATTTCGAAAGAAAATTCAAAGGGCTGTAACTTTTGAACTAGTAGCCCAATCTTGGAATTCTTTGAAATTATGGATTCTACAGGCCCCATTCTATAAGAAAATTTTTTTTCCGGGTCGATCTGAGACAATTTTTTTGCGGGCCTCAAAATAAGGCAGTGTATAACCTTCCTTTTTTACCAAAAATCGACTACACCAAAATTCCTCGGGAAAACACTTTTTCTTATTAATTTTGGTGCGTAGAATCCAAAACAATTCGTACTTTTTCGATCAGACTTCTCAATCAAAAGTTATAGACTAGAAACCAATTTTGAAAAAAAATTCAAAGGGCTGTAACTTTTGAACTAGTAGCCCAATCTTGGAACTGTTTGAAATTATGGATTCTACAGGCCACATTCTATAAGAAATGTTTTTTCCGGGTCGATCTGAGACAATTTTTTTTGTGGGCCTCAAAAAAAGGCAGTGTATAACTTTCCTTTAGTATTCAAATACTTTTTGGAAATATTCTGCCCAGCTCTGGGCGAAAATGTCAAGAGACTAACCTGTTTCGGAGCCCACTATCAAGTAGTGGCGCCCCCTAACAACGACACCTTCGCCGAATTCCTTCTCGTTTAGGACCTGGTCAACACCAAAACTGTCATCGTTCATCAACCTTCGGTGAAGCTAAAGAAAACTTTCAGTCGCCAAACTTTTGTGGTTTTGAGCCTTACCATCAACTCAACCTCGCCACTCTCCAAACTGGAAGCGCCCTGAGCGCGATCGTTTAAGATCGCCAAGTTGATTCCCCTGCCTTCGTCCTCAATCACTATCCTTGAGGTTACCGGGTAGTAATTCCCGCTAATCGGTTCCTCGTTCGTGTAGGTATAAGTGGGGCGATTATCACGGACTCGTTTGATGAGTTCGCGTCCATTCGAGTCGGTGTAGAAAATCGCTCCGCTATTCAAATCGGTGGTGTACCTCGTGATCACCTCCACCCCCAGATTATCACTGTGTAGAGCCGTGGCAAATGAAGGGTAAATGCCAGAGTAAGAGACTTACACGTAACCCAGTGGTCCGACGATCCAATCGAACTCGACGTAGTTCGCATCTTTGTAAACCCGAATGACCTGCTTCAGCCAATCGGTGAAGGTCTGCTGCACTTCGTCAAATATCTCGCCGCGGTAAGTGACCAACTTTACCTTGTCACTGATCACTTCAGCCACGGTGCCGGGTTGGGGGCGGAAGGTGTAAGCGCCCGAGGCGCGTTTCGCGCCGCTCGCATTGCTGGCCTTGTAATAGAGAAACTGCTGCTTGATCGCCTGGGTGACCCCGTTGAGCGTGACCGATTCGAGTAAACCCGTGTCTTTGTCCAGTTCGATGCCGGTTGTCTAAAGCTTGCGATGAACATGGATTATGGTAACCACTGTTGCATACCTGAGTGCCTAGGGAAGTGTCAAGTGTCGTCTGGATCTGGCGTGGTTCATCTTCCTCCACGTAGAAGTACGTGAGGCCGAGCGGCGCTATGTCCTTGGCTTCGAAGGTGAGTTCGTAGGATAACCCCTTTCCGGGAACCTTGGGAAAAGTGTCGATCGCTGGTGATATTTGTGTTCGTATTTTTCGCCGACCTGAAAATCAATTATGCTGCTTATTCTATTGATTAACGACCTTAAAAGCAGTCTGGGATTGGTAGTAAACAAGATATTAACCAATAAAAAATGAGATATCGCCATTTTGAGAGATAATTCCCTATTGTAGGCGTTCAGTATCTATGAGAGGGGACTATGTTTCGAGAACTGTGAGACATTCGCGTTTTAGCATTAAAAGCGATCATTTTCGTCCGGATAATAAGGATTCGGATTTGTGACAATGTGCGGGTTACCCGCAATTTTATATTTTCGTAAATAGACGAATTACAGTAAATTACGGGACGAGAAAACACTTTTTAACAGCCTGATTCGTAGCAAGGCCGTTTATTTACGAGTGCTAACATTTACGCGAAGGAACATTTTCGTGTCGGGAAACGGATTGTCAAAAAAAAAGGATCTCTAACAGTAACGGCTAGTTAAAAGCAAGTTCCTCAAACGACTTCCTGGGCGATTATCCTCTTATTCTCTGGTGAGTCCTGACGTAACCGGAGGAAGCAATCAACGAGAAGCCACGCTCAGAAATATGGTCGGTCGTGCGGTTCCAACCACATCCAAGTCCCGAGGGCGGAACCAAACCATTTGGGATTAGGATTATTAGCCGACGAGCAGCCGAGGCATATTAATATAAAAGTATAGAAGAAAAACCACCCCAATTCAAGTGAGAAGTATTCAAATTAACCAGAGATATAGTCGAATTAATTTTGTCATCCTCGATAGGGACCTGGTAACACTGCTAGGATTCTGTCGCCGGTCCGTGCAGAGCACAGCTGGGAAGTCAACTTAAATTCCACATCGAGGATCGAGAAGTCACGCCTAGAAATATGGTCGGTCGTGCGTTTCGAACCACATCCAAGTCCCGTGGGCGGAACCAAACCATTTGGGATTAGGATTATTAGCCGACGAGCAGCCGAGGCATATTAATATAAAAGTATAGAAGAAAAACCACCCCAATTCAAGTGAGAAGTATTCAAATTAACCAGAGATATAGTCGAATATTTTGTTCATCTCGATGGGCCTCGGGTAACGACTGCTAGGATTCTGTCGCCGGTCCGTGCAGAGCACAGCTGGGAAGTCAACTTAAATTCCACATCGAGGATCGAGAAGTCACGCCTAGAAATATGGTCGGTCGTGCGGTTCCAACCACATCCAAGTCCCGAGGGCGGAACCAAACCATTTGGGATTAGGATTATTAGCCGACGAGCAGCCGAGGCATATTAATATAAAAGTATAGAAGAAAAACCACCCCAATTCAAGTGAGAAGTATTCAAATTAACCAGAGATATAGTCGAATTAATTTTGTCATCCTCGATAGGGACCTGGTAACACTGCTAGGATTCTGTCGCCGGTCCGTGCAGAGCACAGCTGGGAAGTCAACTTAAATTCCACATCGAGGATCGAGAAGTCACGCCTAGAAATATGGTCGGTCGTGCGTTTCGAACCACATCCAAGTCCCGTGGGCGGAACCAAACTATTTGGGATTAGGATTATTAGCCGACGAGCAGCCGAGGCATATTAATATAAAAGTATAGAAGAAAAACCACCCCAATTCAAGTGAGAAGTATTCAAATTAACCAGAGACAACACAGACGCGGATTAATTTTGTCATAAAATAATTGAGCATGTAAAATAGTTGCTACTTACCATGCAATTCTAAAACAGAGTACCTCGTAGCAGCGACCGGAATTCGGACGAAATGAGAGACAACGTGACCGTGTGGATTGTAAACCGCGACGGTAAACCGCTTCTTCTCCGACTCCAAGCAACGGGTTACGTTCGACAAAAGACACGAGCTCAAAGTCGTGACCTCGCCGGTGTCTTTCGCGTTGTGTTTAAGCAGGTCGCTAGAAAGAGTACCTTACCACTGAGCATTAGTCGAAAGGAGTACCTTACAAGACGACTGTGTGCAGCGACCTTTGGGCCTGGTCCGCTCCATCAGCCAGCATTTTGACGTAATCGTCCGCCACGTGCTGCTTTTCGGTTCCGGTGATCGCGTCGTGATGCTGCATAACGCCCATCGCTTTTTTGAGCTCGAGCAAGTCACCCTCAAAATCCTTGCCGTTGGCGTGGGCAAAGGCCACCAAGTGTTTGGCAACCTACAACGTTCAGTTTAAACATGTACAGCTTTCCGCCCGCGCGTTACCTGAAGAAGGTTATTCGCTTGCCGCTCGAAACGCTTTGAGCTGGGACGCGACGAGTAGTACCCGGTCCAGTACGTATTTTCGTCCGTGGCATATGGCATGAAGTCGTTGGTTTCCAAAGGGAATTCCAACCCTTTGCGCTTGGCTGAGTCGTGAACAGCCTTGATGTAGCACGAAGGTGTAGAATAGATCATGTTAATTTTCGGGTGGAATTGTTCAAACCCCCTGAAGATTCTGAAGTGAATCGGCCACTTTATTGAGGGACAGACTTACTTAATGAGTCGATCGATATTGGTGTAGTACGATTCAGCTTCCGCATACGTAAAATCGCCCCCCATTGTTATAAGGATATTATTCGTCGGGTAGGTAGCAGCTTGTGACGTTACCCTCTTGTGGAATTCCTCAACCTGCAAGAAGCAGGTGTATGTGCTCACTCTGTTATTCGCTTACTTTGCTCTTGAGATTGTACCCCGAGCTGGACTCATCATCATTTATGGGAGGATCGTGGCATTGGACATCCCAGCAAAAGTGCGAGGGGGCGTTATAGTTCTCATAGAGGAGGCTGGTGAAAATATCAGACGTGGTACCTAGAGACCTAGGTCAGTGGCACCATTAATGAGTAGGGGATGTTACCTAAATCGGAGTTCCCTCTCCAAACAAACTCGGTTCTGTTGTCAGCGTGACGCGCCTTGTAATCTCTAAAATCGAGCCTCCAGAAGAACAAACCGTCGAATCCAAGCTGAGCGAAAATGTTTGCCATTGCGCTGGAGTGACCGAACGGATCAATTTGCCAGGCGACACGCGGCCTGCCGCATTCCCCCACCAAGGTCTCTAAGGTCCGCAGTCCCAGCGTCATTTGATCGATGACCGACTGGTAATTGGTCGTAGCCTCGTCGTTCATACTCCAACCCCCGCCGACCATCTCCAACCGTCCACTACTGACCAGCGCTTTGACCGTCTCCTTAGTTTGGTCACATTGTTCCGCCCACCAACGCGAGAAGTACGCCGTCTCCACTTGGGAAAACCTAAACAATTCTGTAATCGAAGCTGGCAGTTTGGTAAAGGGGAAACCTTCGATTGGGATTGGCGTTCAGCGCCTGCACCACCGTGTCGAGTATGCTCCGAATCGCCTTAACGCCCGCATGGTGGTTTCTATTGGCTAAAACTCAAAGTCGGCAATTGGTAACGTTAACTTTCACCTACTTCCCAAATAATATTCGTCGACGGTTTTCTTCCACCCGACATCGTCATGGGAATGGGGAATGAGGTGAACGTTCAACTTGTCGGCGTCGGTTTTGTGGCATGACTAAAAGTGTCTAAGTGGGCGATTGAACATTTAAGCTAATTGCGTACCTCATAACCGCATCCAGTTTTAAGACTCCGGGGTTCATCAGTTGGTGCCGAGAAAACTGCTCCGAGCAGGCAAAACAGGAAGGCTCGGGAAACCATGGCGGCGCGGTCACTAGTTCAGAATTTGTCAGGGGTCTACTAGAAAAAACTCGGTCGTCCTTTTGGAAGCATTTGGCACATTGTGTTTTGGTTGTAGTAAACGTTTGACGGTGACACAACATTTTATTTACCAAAACAGTTCATATTTCGCTCCATCATATAATAGCAGGTGTAACCATTTTGGGTTACCTACACTTCGAATTAATTGCGCTTTTATGAAACCAATTAAAAATAATAGGTTTTCCGCTACCGATAAGTATAACTACATTAGCGACCTCTTTCGGCTGGAACGTAAGAGTGGGCTTGTTTATCTTTGTGGTCAATTTTGACCGATAAGTATGTACAAATTACACACGGTCGATGGTAAACAGATTTTAGTCTAATAAAGGATATATTTACCAAGAGAATAGGTCCGGAAATCTCTGACAAGTCTTTAAACAACTTCTGGACGAGCTTTGAAGGAAATTTGCAATAGACACTTTGTGAAGTCCTGAGAAAAACGGAAAGCCGCAAAAAATCTATAGGAATAAGTACCTATAGAAACAACAATTTATTGCAACATAAACCAATTCATAAATTATTGAACGTGTGAAACGGTTTATGCTGTAATAAAGCGCTATTTTAATATTTGAACGGTTGAAGACATTTACATGAAACATGCCCAGAATTTTCTGAAGAATTTCAATTTAAGGCCACCCTGTATACTTACATTTTATGTCAAAATATGTGCAATACAAAAACAAAATCGAGGGGTCCGCGCATGTCTCCGAACACGCCACCATTTCAGTTTTATTGAATTTACCCGTCATTAATTGACAACCCTGTGTATAAAGTTAAACAGGAAAAACGAGTTAGATTTGTACTATATTTTATTTGTGTCCTGAGCATTATCTCAAGTGTTCCTTCGTTTTAAGGTGTTCTGGGCCGCCCCTAACATTTTGGTCCTTCGAGCCGGATCGGTTCGTGAATTAATGTTTATTGTAATTATTGGTTGTGAACCGTTGATTGACATGAGGCAACAAGATGACGGCGTGGGTGAATGAATGACGAGGTCAAGGGGCTGAGAGACATTCTCAAACCCTCACTCACTCTCATCAGCTACAAGAAATCCTTCGGACAAAAAGGTTTCGAAAAAAGAAATCTGCTATTAGTGAGGATGGAGCTTGCACTAGATGGCGCTTGGTTAATATGGAGCAAAGTCCAACTGAGGAGCTTGGATTTGATTGATGGTTGCCCTGTGAAGCCGTTGACAATACCACCCTTGGAGCTCCAAGGAGCCGTAGTGAGGAGTCGTTTAACCATAACGATTGAGCAACAAATAGAGTTGAAATTTAGCTCTACGTACTTCTGGACCGGGCTTCGGTCGGAGACAAGCCGGTACAGAGAGATTCAAGCGCAAAGTTCTTCCAAGCATCAGCACTAGATTTCGACTTTCGAGAATGTAGCTATGATGGAAAGCGAGATGGGATGTCAAGTAATTTTAGTTATGAGTCGTGAGCGTCCAGAATGTTTGTGTATCATGGAGAGGATAGGTATCCAAAGGAACCTAGGGTTAAGAAGATCATTTCTGACTCAGAACTAGAGGTGAAAAAAGAAGTGTCCATGATGGTCATGGAGAGGTCGAGTTCCTTCGTTCAACCTAGCATCGGAAGGTTTATATATTTTATTTTTTTATTTGGGTGGGGGGTCATTTTTTACTCCAACCTGACTACAAAACAAAAAAACATCGCATTTTTCAGATAACAAAAATGCGACGTTTTTATATGGAACACTCTGTACATTATTACATCGGATGACAACTAACTAAATTATCTACAAAAGTTCTTAATGAACTACTGGCAAAATAGAGGGCCACAGATGCAGAAAAGGTGCACCCAGGAACAAGCGATGTTTCAACTGCGGGGAAGTAGGGCATCTCCGGGACAAATGCCAAAAAACGTGCTAAATCTATGAGGTAGAAGGTCTTTCCCCCAAGAAATAGTCATAATCTCGGAGGTGGATAGGTCAACGGAGAAGAACATATTTAAGAACAAAACAGGGAGGATAACGGTGATTATACTTAATGATAGAAGACAAGAAAAGGTGTTGCCGGAAGACGCCATGTCAGGAATTGGATGGAGACGTGTGGGGCCACGCGTATAAAATAGTAAACTTCAAGCCCCTTTCCCCCTGCGTGAGTATGAAGGAGATAAGGGAACAGCAAGTCTCAGGGGCGCACATAGTACACAACCAAGAAATTATCCAGGTAGCGAAAAAATCCCAAAACGGAAAGCGTCGGGCTCAGTTGGTATTCCAAGAGCTAAGTACAGAAAAATACCCTGAAATATGGAAGAGGGCAAATATAGTCCTAATACCAAAAAAGGGGGCGGGGGCAATAAGACCTATAGCGGGGTCCGTTAACTTGCCCCCCCCCCCACTGAGAGATTTGATAGTCGTATTATTTTAAAATGAATGCGCTCGTTATGCGCTCATATGCACCACCGATAATAACTCTTGCGCCATTATCGTTTTTTAGAAATCAGGAAAAACATGGGGGGGGGGGGGGAGTGAACGTAGCCCCCCCCCCCCCCCGTACATTTGGTTATGCGCTCAATTGCGCCACTTGAATTAAAGCTAGCGCCATTACAGTTAAGCCGTGACAAATTTTCAAAAAGCGGGGGGGGGGGGCAACTTGTTTTTAAAAGTTACTTTTTTTAACATCTTTTCATACGAAATTGTACTCTCAGGTATGCGCTAAAATGCGCCGTAAAAAGATATCTTTGCGCCATTATTGTTTTTTGGTTATCCTTAAATATATTTGGGAGGGGCCAAGTGAACGGAACCCCCCATAACGCATTTTGCTACCGGTATTTGTGCCAATCGATACATCTGGTTATGCGCTCAATTGCGCCACTTGAATTAAAGCTAGCGCCATTACGGTTAAGCCATAAAAAATTTTTCAAAAAGTGAGGGGGGCTAACAACGTTTTCAAAAGTTACGTTTTTAACATGTTTTTCTACTACATCGTACCTTCCATCATGGGCTAAAATGCGCCGTAAACAAAAATCTTTGCGCCATTATACAGGGTGGTGACTTGCGCAACGCATCATAGGAATTTCAATGTAAAATTCATAACATGCGATTATTGGCTCCCCAAATTATTTTAGAGCAAAAATGTATTAAGGTTTTTTGTAGAAACAAATTTTTTACGTCAATAAACCGTATTAGTTTTCAATTTTTTGCATAATAAAGACGGAAAATTGTAAAAATAAAACCCCCATCTTATCAATAATCTGTGATGCCATGGAATTTTCTAAAACAAAAAGATATCCAATTATCAATTAGCAGCCGTTCGAAATGGATTTTATGATCGACTTGGTTACTGTCTTGCATTTAATGGGGACTTATTCGAACATTTATTGTAAATTGTTGTATTAGGAAACCGTTTTTAGTAATTTGGTTTTTCTTTATGTTGAATTCGCTGTTTTAAATATAATACTTTTTGATAGAATTTGATTTGTTTTATAGCAGACATTCCATGGCATGACGGATATTGGCGTAGTTTTTGTATTATAAAATTCCATGGCATCACAGATTATTGAAAACGATGGGGGTTTATTTTTCCAATTTTCCGTATTTAGTATGCAAAAAATTGAAAACTAATACGGTTGATTGGCGTAAAAAAATTTTTCCTACAAAAAACCTTAACACATTTTTGCTCTAAAATAATTTGGGGAGCCAATAATCGCATGTTATGAATTTTACATTGAAATCCCTATGATGCGTTACGCAAGTCACCACCCTGTATAGTGTTTCAGAAGCACTATACAGGGTGTTTTTTTGGGAACTTTAGTTAAACGTTTCTGGGAAAGTAAAATAGGTAGGTTTTTAAAAATTTGTACTTAGGAGTTACTCCGAAGGCCGAATCGATGTAAAATATTTTCAAAATGGACGCACTTCCGGCAATACCGGAAGTGGCTAGTAACTTCGTTATTTTAAATGGCAACCCCGATTTTTATTACATTTTTGGATTCTACGTGAAATTTCAGTTCTTTTGATATCAACATGTCGATATCTACCATTTATGGTTTTTAAGTTATTTTGACTTTAAGAAAAGAAATGGCGGATGCAGATGGTACAGCGTACAGACTATCAAATCTCTCAGTGGGGGGCCAAGTTAACGGACCCCCTATAGCGCTCATTAGTCATTTAGGGAAGCTACTTGAAAGGATTATTGCGTCGATACTAGAGGAAGAGGTTCTCGGTATTGGTAAACGTAGAGGAATAAGGGAAGCGCTTCGACTCACCCACTACTAACCGGAGAAAGCAATGGCTCAGTTACCTAGGATGACCTGGGAAGTGGCGATGGTGGCTTCTCTAGATGCGAAAGCACCACTATACCTACCCCACGAACAGATTAGTGCAAGCAAGGCACAAGGTTCTGTTACGGGACCACTTTTGCTATTATGTACTTTTATCATTTCCATAGTAGGTCGAAAACGAAAATAATGAAAAATTTAACTGTTTTTCTAACTCTACAACAAAGAAAATTAGCAATAGTGCCAACTTAATTTGAAACAGACTGTATACAGAAAAAGCTATAAACCTCGCTTTAAAACAAGGAAAAAATTGTCGCAAATAATACAGGAAAAAAACACTTTCTAATTGATTTTGATCTACAGAATTGAAATGATCGGTTTTTATACAGTCTGTTTGTCTGTCTGTCACAGCGGATATCTCGGCCACTGTTAGAGATATTAAAATGTGACAGAAGAAAATTTTGCACTAGCTGTTATAGCAAAAAAAACAATTGGAAATCTTCATTAAAATAATTATCATGTCAGATGAAAATAGCAAAACCTACGTATAAATTTACTCAATGAATTTGACAATAAATGTTTTAATAGCTTACCTTCTCAAACCGATGTATTCAACTCACTTTTTAAGTATGCACTTGTTACTTAATTATCGTTTTACGTTTATAATTGATTAGACTATGACATGCGATATATCGTTGGAAAGATAACTTTGCACCGTTTCAGAATATGTAATAGAATTAGGTTCCCATGTGCTAAATTCTGCGAACGTTGCTCATTAAAACCTTATCAGAATACGAGTGCACCTTTCGATCACTTAAATCTTTTCCAAAATCGCACTTGCTGGTTTCATGTAAAGTGGTACTTCTGCAAACTTTCCCAAATTTTGGGTTCAGAAACTACCCCATACTGTTGTCCAGATGAATAATAATTTAATTGAGCGCACTTACCGATCACCCCCTCCTTCTCAGTGATGTTTGCTCACATCTGGGACGTTGCGCACTATTAAGGCGTAAGGTTACCATGCAAATTTTTTTGCGGTTACCACATTATATTTGTGAGAAATTTAGATTGTATGATAATCGCAGGCAGTAGGTACAACATACATTGATACGAACAGCTTCTACACTTTGATCTTGGTCATGACCGAGAAGACGCTACAAGCAGAAAAGTTCCATGCTACGCCACTGGAATGTAAAACACGGAACCGCGTACAATAATTATAAAAATAGAAAAAAGTAGGTATTTACGTAACGTGTAGTTTTCATGATCCCATTTACAAAGGTCAAATTCAATGTACCTGAACTTTTTAATTGATTCAGCAGCTCTAGAAACAAAAAATATCCTTCTTCTTGTTGAGACTCTTTCATGAGGTGTGCAGCAGACTTTTTTTTGGATATAAGTATAGGCGGAATCTCCATTCCTGAGACAAAATTTTGACTTTTTAAGTGAACTCGAAAATAAATAGTTTCCGATCTCTTCTCCCTCCAGCTAAACTTTCTGGTGCTCCACAGTAGAGTTCCGGCCCAAGTTGGAGATGTTTGGGTGTCGGCCTTAGCCTCGTTACCGGCTATCCCCTCACGGCTGTATAATATACAGTCGACCTATCCCCTCCCTTTTCAGAATTTTTCTTTTCTACAACATCCTCTTCTCTGTCATTTTCCTTTCTAATCCATTATTCACTACCATAAAAATTATTATTATTATTATTGTCGGTGTTTCTTGTGAGAACTCAGGTCTAGCCTGGTTAACTAATCGCACGGATTAAAATCAAGTAACGATTAGTGTCTGTGTCTGTGTCTGGTGAAGTTATGTAGGATTCTAAAGAAAAATAAAAAATAAAATAAATATTCACACACTCACATTGGAAATCTAGAGATAGTATGTAATTCATACTTACCAACATAGCTATTAATGGCCCCAATAGTCAACGCTATCAGGAAAGAAAGAAAACAAAACAAAACAAAACAAAAATATCATTATAATAATTCCTGTAATTTTATTAAATAGACTTTATTGTGTAAGTGTTTCTTTGGCTTTGCGTTTGGGTTGAATACGAGTGGGTTGTGATAACGTGGTGTGTTTATGTGAAGAAGGAGTTTTGTGTTTTTTAATTGTATTTATGGTGTTTCTTTGTTCCTGAGGTCGTATTTGTGAGGTTGTTTGGGTTTTTGGTGGAGATATTGCAGTATTTTGTGAGCCTGTGGTGCTGTTAAGGTTTTTGCGCTTCGGTTGTATACGAGTGGGTTGTGACAATGTGGTGTGTTTCTGTGAAGAAGGAGTTATGTGTTTTTTAAGTGTGCTAGGGCGTGGGTGGACCTGTCTTTGTAGTGCATGTTGCGTTACTTGTATTTATGGTGTTTCTTTGTTCTTGACGTTGTATTTGTGTGGTTGCTTGGGTTTTTGGTGGAGATATTGCAGTATTTTGTGAGCTAGTAGTGCTGTCAAGGTTTTTGCGTTTGGGTTGTATACGAGTGGGTTGTTTCTGAGAAGAAGGAGTATTGCGTTTTTTAACTGTGCTAGGACGTGTAACTTTATTGGGTGGACCTGTCTTTGTAGTGCATGTTGCGTTATTTGTATTTATGGTGTTTCTTTGTTCTTGAGGTTGTATTTGTGTGGTTGCTTGGGTTTTTGGTGGAGATATTACAGTATGTTGTGAGCGTGTAGTTCTGTTAAGGTTTTCGCGTTTCGGTTGAATACGAGTGGGTTGTGATAACGTGGTGTGTTTATGTGAAGAAGGAGTTTTGTGTTTTTTAATTGTGGTAGGACGTGTAACTTTATTGGGTGGACCTGTCTTTGTAGTGCAAGTTGCGTTACTTGTATTTATGGTGTTTCTTTGTTCTAGAGGTTGTGTTTGTGTTGTTGCTCGCATTATTGGTGGAGACATTACGGTATTTTGTGAGCCTCTAGTGCTGTTAAGGTTGCTGCGTTTGCGTTGAGTACGAGTGGGTTGTGATAACGAGGTGTGTTTCTGAGAGGAAAGAGTATTGTGTTTTTTAGCTGTGTATTATTATTATTATTATTATTACCATTGAGTAAATTCGATACCCCGTCGTCATTATCGTGATTCTTCTCTAGTTTTTCACACATTATTTATCACCTCTTTTGAAAATCGTCATTACTTCCTCATTCTTTCTTTGACCCTATCAGAAGCGAAAATCAAAGCCTCATACTATTCCACTATTCTTTGTACTGCCTTCCATTTCTTCTTCTTGTTCCTCTAGTCTCCTTCTATACGACTCCACAGTGTCTCTTGTCCATATCTACATCTCTCTTCTTTTTTTGAATCTTTCTCTTTCTTTCTTATCTTCATATTTAACCTTATATCCATCGGTTGAAGAAAAAAAAAGAAAGAATGCAATATAAATTACACTAGAGATCCGCAATTTTTATCAATACAATTTAGAAATTCATCAATTGTATATGGTGCATTGACTAGAAGAAATTTTTTTAAAGAAGTTTTAAAGCACTTTATTGTTCCCTGACTTCTAAGTGTACTTGGAGTTTAATGCCCATTGCCGTGGGAGAATTATGGGCAAGTTTAAGCCTTGTTAAAGGGATGATAAATTGTTGTTTATTGCGTGTGTTGTAATTATGAAAACTGCTATGGCGTAAGAAATGTTGCTGATTATGGAAAATAAAAGTTAACAATTCAAGTATATAGACTATAGAGTGATGAAAGTGTAACAATATTCAATTTTTTAAATATCGGGCGACACGAATCAAATTTCTTACTACCCGCAATACACCGGACTATTCGTTTTTGTACCAGAAAAACATTTTTTGCCGCGCTTGACGAGCCCCAAACAATTATTCCATACGACAATCTGGATTGAATTTGAGCATAGTAATAATTTAAAGTATGGTTCGCATCCATTAATTCTTTAAGATTCCGTATCTGGTAGCAATAAGTGTTTAGTCTTTTAATAAGATTTTCGCAGTGACATTTCCAATTTAAGTTTTGATCTAAATAGATCCCCACAAACTTCCCAGTGCCTAGAATATTAATGTTTTTGTTGCTTGAGTCAGACAAATGGTTATTTCCAAAAGTTGTAAACGGTAGGAAAAATGTTTTATGGTGATTTAAGAATAATTGTTTAAATTAAACCAATTACTTAGCTTATTTAGAATCTCAACAGCTTTTGGATATATATTTTCTTGCTTCTTTCCGGATATTAATGCCGTCGTATCATCCGCATATAAAACCAAGCAATTTAAGAACATGACAATATCATTAATAAATAATAAAAATAAAATAGGTCCTAAAACAGAACCTTATGAAACCCCCATATTAACAGGCAAAGCTGTGGATAAAAATTTTGCAATAGTGGAACCGGTTTTAAATTTAATTTCTACTTGTTGACACCTTCCAGAGAGATATGATGAAAACCAATTGGCAACAACGCCTCTGATACCGTAAGTATTTAATTTTTCCAACAGTACCAAGTGATCAACAATATCAAAAGCCCTGATGAGGTCACAAAATATTCTGTTTTTTATCAAGAAGTGAAATGATGTCGTTAACAAAGGAGTTAATGGCAGTAATTGTCGATTTCCCATTGCAGAACCCGTGTTGTTTATTACTTGCAATGTTATATTTAACAAGGTGAGGATTTAGCCTCTCTTACATGGCGTATTCAAAGACTTTTGACAGCGTCAAGCTAACAGAAATTGGTCTGTAATTCGAGTAATCTCGAGAGCAACCTTTTTTGTGAACGAGATGTACGGTTGACAGCTTAAGTTCTTTCGGGAAGACACCGTTTGAAAAAGACATATTGACTAAATGTGTGACAGGTTTTATTATAATAATACAAACTTGACCTTAGCAAAGAATTAGGTATACCATCGGGGCGTGAGGAATGTTTATTTTTTATGCTTTTTTTTAAACAATTTAATAATTTCGTTTCATTAAATGGCAGTGCACACATACTTTCGCGAATAGTCATACTAAATAAGGCTCCATACTGTTTTATGTTTATTGTCGGAGGATTTGATTAAGTTACCATAAAACGATTTCTTACAATTCATAATGTATTGCCGGTATTTACATTTGTGTGTTAAATAAAGTTTTTTAAGCACGGGATACATTTTTTGGAGGTGGTAAAAGTTTTTAAGATCTTGGCTAAGCTTTCTAACGGTGCTGTTTACCCATCCTTTTTTCACATATGAGGTATTACGTTTTAAAATTTTGGTCTCTGGGAACGATGAATTGAAATGGGAGACAAAAGTATTGTAAAATACAGTAAACGCATCATCGAATGTAGTAGCAGAATTTAAAGTTAACCAGTTCTGATTCTCCAATAACTCATGAAAACGAGAAATAGAAGTTGGCGTAAATTTTCTACCCTTGGTAAACGTAAGATTACTGTCAGAGGGTAGTGGCAAATTACTATTAAGTACAACGTATTTATGATCAGAGAACAAGAAAGGCAATACATCGCAGGTTACATCAGTAGATTTGTGTAGAAAAAGCATGCTCTCGAGTGGGAATTTTTACTACCGCAGTCATATTAGGTATAAGATTCCATAAGACATTAAACCCCCTCCTCCCTTTTTTTGCTCCCTATTCGCAAATTGGTTTTTCCAAAGGTATTCGCTCGGTGGCCAATTACTCTCTTCCATCCCATATTCTACCAAACCCACGACGTCGTGTCCGTGGATAATCTACCAAAAAATATAGCAAAGCACTCCGATTCTGTGGATACACAGATGTATACAGTTGCTCGAGCAGATCTTGACAGCTTTTAAGAATCATCGAAACTTTCGGGATCGTGGGATTTTGAAGATATGAGGAATCTCGTGGAGTTTTTTAGGACCCAGGACCCGGACCATGGATCTTGATAATGTGGGGTGCCTCTATCTGATCTTTAGTACCTTGTCGTCCAAGACATTCTCGTGCATCCGAATAACCCTCGGGCTGTTTGGGGCCTAGACGTTCCATTTGAAATTTGAATAACGCTAAAACCATAGATGCACAGAATTTTTATGATATGGGTAAAACAGTACTAATTCATCATTGAATTAAAGGTAGAATTTGTTGTAATCCCTAACAGCATCTTGGGTTTGCAATTCACAATTATTGGGGATCGTGTCCACTACTGCTTGGCATTAAATGGAAGGGTAGGTCCTTGTCATCAGGAAGAGACGATGAGGTAATGTCGGACAGCGATAACTAAAATGTGGCGCCACAAATTCTTCTGATCCCAGTTTATTCAACCCTTCCTTCTCCGTAGAAGTTCAACAGCATTTTTATTAATTACCGACAGCCCCTCCACCGATCGGGTTCAAAAGGTTATCATCAGCTCGGATGCTTTACACTCCTAAAACTATCAACTTATTACGAATTCAGACTTCGCTCGTTCGCATTAACAATTAACAGTGTATCTTATCGTAGCTTCTTCCTGACAGTAGCGGTTCATCTGCGTTAGACAATCTCATTAATGAACTCATCGCGGTGTGGTACGAATTCGTGATTGTCGTGAAATTGCAATGGTAAGTGCGATTTTTTTTTTGTTCCTTCTGCGCGCCAAATTTATTTGCCTTTTTCCGCTTTCTTCTTCGATTCCAAATATAAGTACGCAAGCAAGAACTTTGATTTGTGGACATTGTAGAAGCTGTCACGGACTGGTACCAGATATTACTCAATGATGAGTAAACGTGTTATCTCCCTAAGTTGGCGATAAGCGTAGATTTAATGTGCATTGTAATTTGTAAGGTATACGAGTTTTTGGACCAAAAAATGACCACCGTGTTTAAAGCTTAGACGCGTTTTTGGAAATCAACAAGCTGCGCACTTGCATCAATGTTATCTCATTATTTGGGGAACTTCTATTGCGTTCCAAATTTTCCCTTTTAGCCTTATCGAAAACCAATCTGGAACTTACGAACTGCTGTCAGTCTATTACGAAGAATTAAGGGATGATCGTGGACATGACTGGGCAAAGCCGAGACTCGAAGGAAAGGGGCCTAAACTCAGTCACGGACTCTCGATGAATAAGATGAGTAAATATAAAATAAGATGCTATAATTTATCCCTCTCTTGTTCTGGGCCCTCAACAGGCTTGCGTCCAATTACAGAGTGGCCCGCATTTTATGAATAATGGGAAGGGTTTCGGTCAGGGGCTCCGACGTGTATAAATTATTAAGGAGGCTCATCAAATCATAGCTCTGGGTCACCTTCTGCTTTCTCCAGATCAGGAAAAATTCCTATTTTAAGGTCGCCGTTTTCTTCTGTAACCACTATGGTGGTAGCCAGTGCTGCTGCAATTTATTGATTAACAAATTACCTTTCTTTTTCTTAAGCTGAAAATTGCAACCAGAAAACTGTATTATAAAAATAACATAGATCTGAATATTTAAATTATAATTATATTATAATTTGAATTAGAGTTGTTGTCAATTTACATTTTAACGGCAACCTAATGGTTTTACATTGACAAAATAAATTGTGAGATGCTTCTGAATTCGGTTCATTCTCAACTTTATATGGAATTCGATTCGATTTCGTCTGAAGTCTGAAAAGTCTGGTCACTAATTCAGATGTTTCTTTTAATAAAATTACAAGACAAGAATAATTTACAGAATTTTCCACAACTTTCTAATGCATCGTAAAGCCGTTGATTTAAATTTACGAAAATGATGAAAATTTGTAAACGAACGCTTTCTGGGCGTGGTTAACAGGTGATTAAAATCCGATATTAATAGCTCCAAGAACAGAACAGCTCTTTGATCCTACTGGTCAATACAAATTTTTGGTTGCACTTGCACTTTTAATTAATTAATTAATTAAGTTTAATGCGTGGGAAATCCCTTTAGTAAACTTTTTCGCTGATTTGCAAAAATGCACTTAAATATTATCTGAGTTTGCTAACAGTTTTCTTTATCGCAATTTCACTTTATTCGGGATATTAGAGTATCTTTCTTTCTGTGGTACTGCGTAGAGCGCGTTTTTAGAATTTGCTGAATAGCTATTTGCTTATAAATATGGACAATGTCTTTAATTAGCTGAATTACTCTCGCGACCTTCTACACGTTAATGTAAAAATATTCCTTGGCGTAATTTTGTATCATGTTAATCCTTATTGGAAATGCCCTTTATTGGAAAACTAAGGTGCGCGATAATTACACGCAAAATTCCGCTAAGGGTAGCGAAAACTAACATGCCCTTTTTCTATTATAACCCAAATGGAATCTTTCAGGCGTAACTTGCCCAGTGGAGCTAAATGATAACTTTCCGACACTACTGGAAACTAATGAACACTAAACGTCGCTTGGAATCAGATTAAGTTCGGTTTACCCGAATGCCAAATTTAATTACTTAGGTAAAGTCACTATAGTAAACCAGGTCGACTACCCAAGATCGGAATCGATCTCTCTAACTAGCTAAACTGCCGCTTGACTTTTACCATTTTTCGTGCAAATCGCATCCCCTCTCTCTACTCTAAGCCGACTTAAAACGCCCATTTCATGTTGGAAAGCAATGGCGGCTTTGCTTCGTTACTTTTCATTGGTTTGCCGACTCTAAGGTTGTCCATAGAAAAAGTTGACTCAACAGAATTTTACCCACGAAAGCTTAATTCGCAGTGTAAGATATGAAACCTTATATTACCTCTTTTTATCGTGTAAAATGAAACAAATTATCGACCAATGCGACTTAAAACAAAGACGTTACAAATAAAGCTTGCTGAACTACAATCGACAAAATAAAAACTTGAACGTGACATAATGAACATTTGTTTGGTGGAATATTACCGAAACCTTAACCGTTTTTAAACTTGAAAACCTTTCTTTCCGCATATGTCAATGAGAAAAATTAAAAATCGCAACAATTTACGCAAAATAATCGCTCTCGTTACACCAGGCAAGTCTTCGTCCAGCTTTGATCTTCTTTATGTCCTCTACCAATCGAAATTAATCTTTCTCAATAACACCTCTAGGGCATTTTTTCTTCACTTCTATATCTGCGAGAAATTCTTCTCCAATTTTTACAGTATTTCCTTGTTACACTGATCCATGCATTGACTTCCGGTATCTCCAGTTATTGGAGGATATTGGGAGTGCACTGATGATACACTATACTTTCGATACTTCTGTTTATTGATCGCTGAGCACACAATTTTATAATGATCTCGGTTCCATGCCACACATCAAACTTTCTTCTTGCATTTTCTGGAAGTGTGACCGATTTTCAAGCAACCGAAGCATTTTTTCTCAAACACTACTTGCTGCTTTTCTTCATAGGCCTTTTCTTTGACTTTCCAAGATTTGGCAGAACTGTGATTTTTATTATAAAAAAAATGCAAAAATCCTTCCCCACCACGTTTGATTACAATCCGGAAACTGCGGGAGCATTTTCTACTTGAATGTTGAATTTATTCTGACGTTCTCCCCTCCTGCCGTTCCCTTTTGATTGTTGTTGTGATCCAGTGGCGTACGTAGAAATTTATTCGGGGGGGGGGGGGGGGATCAAACAAGTTCGTGGCACATACAGTCACCAAGTGCGTACTAGAAGGGGGGGGCTAAGAAATAGAAATTGGGTTGCTGATTCTGGTAGTCATTTATCTATTTATTATTGTACAGGCGAAAAAGATTAGATTAGAACGGTATCTTATTTCTTACTGCAGACAGGCCCCTTTATTGCTATTGCTTTAATTAGTCAACGAAAACTTTGAATAATAGGTATATTTAAGGGCAAAAAACCAATTTCGACAAAAAATTCAAAGGGCTGTAACTTTTGATCTAGTAGTCCGATCTTGGAACTGTTTGAAATTATGGATTCTACAGGCCACATTCTATAAGAAAATATTTCCGATCGATATGGGACAATTTTTTTTTTCGGGGCAAAAAAACCTTCCTATTTTTCCAAAAATCGACTGCGCCAAAATTTCTCGAGAAAAAACTTTTTCTGATTAATTTGGGTGCGTAGAATCCCAAACGATTCGTACTTTTTCGATGACGTGTTTGTTCGTTCGTTGTTTGTACGTGTATTATTTTTTCTTGTCTACTTTTAAATGACAAAATTTTAGACTTTAACCAAAACCAAAGTTGCTCTCTATATATACCTTTATATTATTTGCGTTTATTTTAAAGTGGGCGGAGCGGATAGCGGAAGTATTACCTAAATACCTAATAGCTATGATGATAACTCAATTCTTCTGGAGGGGGATATATCCCCTTCATCCCCCCCCCCCCCCCGTAAATACGCCACTGTTGTGATCGTGTAGTTGGCTTTGAAATAAACTTTTTTACTCCCTTCGTAAAGATGTGTTACCTGTATTAACCATTCTAAGAGGTTTGAATACATTTATTATGATTAAATAATTAAATCAAAACAATTCTTACAATCCTAGCTAAACTGTAAAAATATCCCTGCTAGCCAGATAATTAAATTTATCTTCGAAAGCAAACAAGCAAATGTAAACGCACAAAATTATACGCGAATCAGTCTGTTCCACTGATAACGAAAATAAATAAATAAATAAATTAGTACCTTATCGCCTTTGAATTCTTTAACGTAAATTGTCGCCGGTTCGGGTTTCAACATCCGATTTTCGTTCAAATAACCCCAAGCCTCATTTAAAAACAAATCTAAACATTTCAAAAAAACCAATCACGAGCATAAAAGAAAAACGCAGCACGTTTTTTTAAAAAACAATGTACGTCTTCTGTGACGATCCATTAACAATTGGAAAACTTTCGATTTATGGTGAAATTCACTTCTTAAAATCTCAGAGTGAATTTTTCGCGATATGCGCTTTGGTTAATTCCGTAACACTGTTTTTTGTGATGAGTTAATTCGATAGAAAGAACACGAAGACGAAATCAGGTAAACAAATAAGGACCCTTAGAAGATGGTAATCAGAGAAAATGGGAAAAACATAATAAGTGAGATAGCGCATTATTATTTTCCGTTACTATGTTAAATGAAACTATAAATCGTCAATTATCAGCAACTTCCTCAATGATGTCCCAGAATGACGACGGTACAATAATTTATCTGCACGCACTTGAGATAAACGCGTGATGCAAATTGTTGTATACTTCCTGGTTCTAATTTTTACAACTAGAAGGAGATCCTTGCAAAAGTGCCTACTCTACGCCTGGCTTACGTACGCTTTTGCTTTCTTTTTGCTTATTTTCAAACACTAAAGCCGACTTCCTTCCTGTTTCTAGATGCGTTCACTTTTGGCGATATTGTTTTTATGCGTATGTGGATCTAAGGCCGCTGCACCGTCGTGCTCGTACGAAGGTCGTGGCACACTCTCGTCGACGTGTTACAATGCGAACGCGGCTTACTTCCGTAAGACGACCTACAGGTTTGACAACCTGGACGAAACGGTCCGATGCGTCAACTGCACTCTGCAAATAATCGAGGGCGGCACGTTCGATCTCTCAGGCAACCAAATTAAAAATTTGATACTGAACAACGCCCAAATCACCGTCCTCAAACCGAAATCGTTCATCGGCCTCGTCTTCCTCCGCGTACTCGTCCTGAGCGACAACAACATCGTGTCCGTTCCCCCGGAAACGTTCCAAGGTATTGCCAAGGTCGAGGTACTCGATATGGAGCGCAACAGCCTGACATCCCTCAAAGCCAACGGATTTAAGGAGCTTACCAACCTACGTAAACTTAACCTGAAAGACAATCGCATCAAGGAGATCGAAAACGGCTCCTTCACGGGCCTGGGGTTGCTAGACGAGCTGAACCTCGCCAACAACGACATCTTTGACTTGTCGGCGATCTTCACGGGACTCGAGAACATTGCCCTGGTGAACTTGGAAGGAAATAAAATCGCGACCATCACCTCGGGCGACCTGCCACTCCTGAGAAAGCTGAGCCAATTAAACTTGGCGGGGAACTCGCTGAAGAAACTCAGGGCGAACGATTTTCTCCCACTTCCCCGTCTCGAGACGCTCAACATCTCGTCGAACCCGATCGACGCAATCGAAATGGGCGCGTTCCGAGGTTTGGGAGCGCTCGAGAGCCTCGACCTGAGCAACTGCATGATCGCGAGCATCCAACGGGGTTTGCTGTCGGCCCTGCACGAGCTGCGACTGCTGGATCTGTCGCACAATCGCCTGGAGATCTTTCAAACCGGAGTCTTCTCGGGCATACCGGAACTGAGGAGGCTGAACATGTCGCACAACAAAATCGCGAGCTACGAGAAGACAGGGATATTTCCGTTGCATAGTCTGCACATTCTGGATCTGTCTAGTAACAGTCTGGAGGATTTGGACTACAAGCTGCTCGTCCACCATCTCCCGTCTCTGTCGCATATCGCCTTGGAGAATAACCCCTGGCCCTGCTACCTGAAGAAGGAGATGGAGGAGCTGTTCGTGCACGATAATCTCGTTTTCGATTTGGGGAAGGTGGAGGTGTGCAACGACACGAGACCGAAGATTAGCGAGCCTATCGTCAAGGAACCGATAACAATGGACGAGGCGAAGCCGAACTCTACCGGCCACGATTACGCCCTCTACGTGCTCGTGAGCTTTGGATTTATCGCGATTGTCGCTCTGTTCGTGTTGCACATGCGCACTAAGCGCGACATTGAGAGACTCGTGGGAAAGTATAACGTCTCGGAAACGCATCTCATATCGCACACCACAGAGGAAAATAATTACTAATGTATGTGTTTGGAAATAAATCTTGTTTACCTTTTCTCTATTTCTTCACATGCGATAGTTGTTAGGGGTTGTTCTTATTTGCCGTTCCTCTAACTAAAAGGCTGGAGCCGAACTGGAAGAGAGTTTTCGCTTTTCTTTGAGATGAAGATAATTCAATAACGCATTTTTCTTCATTTACCTTCAGTAACCATGACAGTGGAGAAGGGTGGTACTAACATCAGCATTATCTAGGCCTTTCTTCAAAAACGTGTTCCATGTTCTCGTCTTCCTATCCACATTTTCTTTCTTCTTGTCACCATGTCCCCTTCCCTCTTTCTTCATTTCCACATCAGAGTCTCGCCATTATTTTAAAAATTTTTATTCCCTTTCAAGGGGAATTACTACCTCCGCGCGTGCTCTCCATCTTTCCTCCTACTCCTCTCCTCCTTTCGACCTCAGCTCGTCCGTATCCAATTTGTTCATAATGTTTTCGTCCATGTTCTTCCCACATGCCTTTTGCATCATCCTGCGTCTTCTCCATGTTTGTTTCTTCCTCCAATATACAATTTGGGGTTTTTCCAATTAGCCCTAAAACCTATTCCTTCCCATTCATTCATTTCACCTTCTTTGGAATCCTACCAGTTCATCCCATTTCTTCTAGCCATATCTCCGCTCCGCCCATGAGCTCCCCTTTCACCATTGCATCGAACATCGACTCTTTCCCTTCCATTCTTACCCCCAAATCTTGTCGCTTCATATAGTTCCTTTATTCCGCCATTCAACTTCTCCCTTTTCTCGTCTTTCATCATCTGCCATACTTATCCCCTTTCCACTCCGAAAACACCTTTCCGACCATTTTTTCTCAATTCCTTTCCCACGAATCTGTGCAATACATGTATACACTCGATCGCTCCACTTCATTTTCTGAATCCCATCCTCTTTTCTTTCATTCCCTTCGTATTTGCGTCTTTTTATTTCTTAATCTTCTCATCTTCCCTTTAGACTCCTTGTTCCTATCTTAAATTCATCTATTACTTCCAGTACTTTTTCATTTGCTATTATGTAATCAATTACCCGACTTCCCTCTTCCTCACATGAATGTGAATTGCCCGTCTCAATCTCCCTCCATACATACATACCTTCTCGACCCTGTATTTTCTGAGAATTCCGCTAACACATCTCCCTCTTTATTGTACTATTTATCTCTTGATTTTCAATCAAATTTCGTTTTAAATCTTTTCCAAATTGGTATCAGGAGGTTATAATGTCCGAGGAGGTGTTTCAGCTCCTAATACGCGAAGGACCAATCAGAAAATTATTGTAAAATTTTGTCTGGCTAACAGGAGAACAGAATAGTCGAGGAGGTCTTTTCCCATCACCCACAAAAATATTTCGAAGCCAAATTTCGTTTTAAATCTTTTCCAATTTGGTATCAGGAGGATGTAATGTGCGAGGAGGTGTTTCAGCTCCTAATGCACGAGGGGACAATCAGAAAATTCTTTTAAAATTTTGTCTGGCTACCAGGAGAACATAATAGTCGAGGAGGTCTTTTCCCATCACCCACAAAAATATTTCGAAGCCAAATTTCGTTTTAAATCTTTTCCAATTTGGTATCAGGAGGATATGATGTGCGAGGAGGTGTTTCAGCTCCTAATACACGAGGGGACAATCAGAAAATTCTTTTAAAATTTTGTCTTGCTACCAGGAGTACATAATAGTCGAGGAGGTCTTTTCCCATCACACACAAAAATATTTCGAAACCAAATTTCGTTTTATATCTTATCCAATTTGGTATCAGGAGGTTATAATGTGCGAGGAGGTGTTTAAGCTCCTAATACACGAGGGGACAATCAGAAAATTCTTTTAAAATTTTCTGTGCCTACCAGGAGAACATAATATTCGAGGAGGAGGGTTTTTCCCATCACCCACAAAAATATTTCGAAGCCAAATTTTGTTTTAAATCCTTTCCAAATTGATATCAGGAGGTTATAATGTGCGAGGAGGTGTTTCAGCTTTTCATTTACCTACAACTGGCATCAGACTTTCGTTCACAGGGAGGTATTTCTTCTACTCGTCTAACCAGTATTCCTTCCACTGTTAGGTTCTCCCTCCAAACCACGCACCTACCTCTTCCGTTCTTGTTTTCTCTCTATCCCCACTAACCCTTTTACTTTGGTACTCCCTCTGTGTTCATTATCTTCTACTATTAGTCTCCTATAATATCCCCACTTACTTTCTTGCCCTGTCCTCCTTATCTTTCCGCAACATCTCTAATTTCTCTCTGTGTCCTTTCTTTTACCTTATTTTCCCTTAGTTCAAATGTTCTTGCCTCTTTTACGTTCGCATGTAATTGTGGTCAACACTAAACACACGTAAACGAGTATCTCTTGAATTTTAGATATGCCCGGTTCCCTTTTCGGTTAGGAACCCGTCTGTAACCCACACGCATCCCGCCGGTTATGAAGAACGGACGATCTGAGTTCAGACACTACGGCTCCCTGCCGGAGATAGTGATTATTTGTTTGGCGCATTTTTTAAGAATTCAAAAAAATGGGGGGGGGGGTTAACACATTTTTTACCCTTCCTGGTAGGTCTCATCGAAGTAAATTGGTTTGTACAAAGTATTTAAAGCATTGGTTTGTATAAAGCATAACCGTTTTCTACCAACTACTGCCCTTCTTTCTGTCCTCTTATCAAACTACGGAGTGGAGGGAGAGGGGGGGAAGTGGAACTAGTTTTATCCTTCATGGAACTCTAATGAAAGGTCTCAACGAAAGGAGTTAATTTCTACCAACCATATCCCTCCTCGACCTCTTATAGTGATCGGATATATTCCCTTATACCTCAAGAACGGATTGTCGGAAGAGGGTACTCATAAAGGGCGATTGAGACGTCTGCAAGAAATATATCCATTAGTGAAGTCAAAACAAAAGCTATTTCGGTTAAAAAAATGCGCTTTATCTGCACAAGAGTTGTGCACAATTTATACTTGTTTTATTTCTCCCTCTTGTTCTAGGCCCTCAACAGCCCTACGCCCAATTACTTTATTTATAAGACTTTGGTCTTAGTACCTTGATAGCATGAGGGTATCCTCCCAGATCCGCCCCTGCCCAAGGCTAACTCGTCCTTCCACTCATTCCAATAATTTAACCGTATGCTAGTCTTCCAAGACTCTGCCTCCACAGCTAAGAGTAAGGGCTCTAGTCCCAGAAACGCCGCCATGGCCAAAGTTGGCGTGGTTTTCATGGTTCCAGTGACTCCCAGACATGCTAGTCTCTGTACCTCGCCCAGCTGTCTCCTGTAGGTTGACCTGAGCTGCCCACCATACAAGTACATCGTACAGTTGTATTAGCCCTATCACCACAGTGCAAATCCAATATATCAGTCGAGAGGACAAGATCCATATACCGCCAGAAGCCCTTCTACATGCTTTTTCGCTCAATGTGCCCTTTCTAGGCCAGGCGAGGGTCTATATTTCTATGACCCAGTATGAACCCAGGATCATAACATGGGCTCAAACTGATACAAAACTGTTCATTTAAACACAAGTTTATTCGGTAATTGCTGTAATAAAAAGTGAGACAGTGTCAAAGTATTGCGGCGGCGGCGAACGGCCAAAAGGCCACGGCGTCTCGTTAAAACATTTCCTCTTCTATCTAACACATTTCCCTCTCTTGTCCCATGTTCTCCACTTCCTAATTCTTTATAGTTAATATAAACTCTTATCTAAACGCGCACCTGCGACAACATCTGTTTGCCAAATTTTAGCGATAAGCGCAACTCTTATCTACGACCGGAGAAAAACATGAGATTAACTTTTCAATATTACACAAGTTATTTCACGACGTTCCTTATCCTATAAAATGTAATTCCTTTACAATTAATTAAACAAAATAAACAACTGCGGGTATAAACAACAAAATGTTGACATAGAGGTAAAGACCCTCCGCCCCGCAATCTTTCTTGTTATGGCGTAAAATAGGTCTATACTACTCTGGAACATATTATGACTAAGTTTTGAAAAATTGTGTGTGAAATTCGTTTGAATTGCAAAGGAAGGTCCATTTATTTTCTAACATGTTCCCTTGAATCTTGTTGAATATTTGTTCTTCAGATGCTTCGGTTAACTGAATGATGACAATTTATTCGCTTTGATATTCGTTATCTGCATCATCTTCTATCGTGTCCAAGGTCTCCGATTCAATATTTAACCTCAAATGCGCCAAAAATATGACCTAGATCTCGGTGTTGTTCTTCCTGTGGCGCTTTCGAAGAATGACTCATTGCTGGCAATATTAGTAATATCGTATTTCTCTTTCAGATGGCGCAAAAATGGTTAATTTGTTTCTTCATCGCACTGTCGGCGTCCCAAAAAGCCGAAAAGCCGGCGATGTCTTGTTCGTATGGTGGCCGAGGTACGCTCATATCGATCTGCACTAACGCTAACGCCGGATACTTTCGTAAAACCTCGTACAGATTCGACCATTTAGACGAAACCCTCCGATGCGTTAACTGTAGCCTGCAGGTATTGGAAGGCGGTTCGTTGGACTTGTCCGGCAACCAAATAAAGCACCTCGACCTCCACAATTCCCAAATCACCGTGCTCAAGCCGAGGGCGTTTATCGGTTTGATATTCTTGGAGACCCTCAATATAAACTCGAATCTCATCGCCGTTATTCCACCGGAAACCTTCCAAGGAGTCACAAAGATTCGCACAATAGACGCAAGCAATAACGTAATCAAGTCTTTGGCCGCTAAAGCTTTCGTTGGGCTCTCCAATTTGATTTCCCTAAACTTGTGCGACAACAAAATCGGATACATCGACACGGACGCGTTTAGTGGCTTAGATTCGCTCAGGGTGTTGGAATTGTGCAACAACGCAATATACGACCTTCACCACATCTTTACGGCCCCCTCGAAACTGTGGTACCTCAACGTGGCGCGCAACCAAATCACCGACGTCATCGAAACCGACTTTAGATACTTAAACAATCTCGTGGTGCTGCGAATGCCTAGCAATTCCTTGAAGTCAATCAGGAGGCACGCGTTTCTACCGCTGCTCAACCTCCAAACACTCAACTTGTCCTCCAATCCGATTGAGGCGATCGAGACCGGCGGATTTCGCGGCCTATCGTCCCTGGAGGAGTTCGACTTGAGCGGCTGTCGAATCCGAAACGTGCAGAAGGGACTCCTGCTCGCGCTCCACATGCTGCGCACCCTCGACTTGTCCAACAACCGCCTCGGAACGTTCCAAACCGGAATATTCTCCGGTCTCCCGGAGTTGCGGGTTCTAAACGTGAGCCACAACAAGATCAAACGGTACGAACGGACCGGAGTGCTTAAGCTTCCCAGTCTGCACAACCTCGACTTATCCTACAACGAGCTGAAGACCATCGACTACAAGGCTTTGATTGGCCATCTTCCCGCTCTGTCGTACCTGGGTCTGGAGGGCAACGACCTGAGTTGCTTCCTGAAGAGCGAAATGCAGGAAATGTTTAAGGAAGACAATTTTAAGTTTAATTTGGGCGCCATTGAGAACTCAAATGAAAAGTGTAACGCGTCCAAAATTGACGTTGACACGTCCTCTAACCAAATAGAGGACGTCTCCACCGAAAGGTTGCAGAGCTATAAGTATTACGCAGCGGATGAGCACGAATACTTTCTTTATGTTTTCATCGTATTTTCAGTTGCGGTGCTTTCCATTTTGTTTTATTTGCACTACCGTGATAGAGTGCAGCTTGCGCGAATGAGTCATACAGACACGTTCGAGACGCCGTTAATCGTAAACTAAGTTTTGTTGTAAATAAAATGATTGGTCCAAAAACTTTGTATGCCACCATAACGGAAACGCTTAGCTTAGTTTTGTTACAGATGAATTACCACCCCCTACTGTGCGTGCTGCTAGTGCTAACGTCGGCGGCGGCCCAACAGCCCGCAATGTCTTGCAGCTACAAAGGGCGCGGTTTTCTCACGTCCATTTGCGTTAATGCCATCCCATCCTTTTTCCGTATGACCGTCTACCGCTTCGACAATCTTGACGAGACGCTTCAGTGCGTCAACTGCACTTTGCAAGTCATCGAGAGCTACACGTTTGACATATCCGGTAACCAGATCAAGCAACTTGATCTGACCGACTCAAAAATCACAGTTTTGAAACCGAAAGCCTTCATGGGGCTCGTCTTCTTGGAGACACTCAACCTGAAGGACAACCAAATCGTTTCAGTACCGGCAGAGACCTTCCAGGGCATCACCAAGGTGAAGGACCTGAACATGGAAAACAATCGGATTGATAAACTGCTGGCGAACGGATTTAAAGAGCTGACGAATATGCACAAGCTGAATTTGAAGGCCAACAACATTAAGAGTATCGAGGACGGTTCCTTTAACGGCTTGGGTTCCGTGGAAGAGCTCGACCTCTCCAACAACGAAATCACGACAATTAACGGAATCTTCACCGGTTTGGTTAGCGTGCGCTCGCTCAACTTCGAAAAGAACAAGATTTCGAAGCTCGATCCACTCGACGTCGAACAGCTGAACGTGCTCCTCTACCTGAACTTGGCCAGAAACAACCTGAAGGTCATTTCGAACAACACATTCCTGCAACTGCCCCGCTTGGAAACTCTAAACCTGTCCTCAAATCCAATTGAATCCGTCGAGGTCGGTTCGTTTCGCGGATTGGACGCACTAGAGGAGCTGGATTTGAGCAGCTGCCTAATTGAGAACATCCAAAAAGGGCTACTGCTCACCCTTCACCGGTTGCGCATACTGAATTTGTCCTACAACCGGCTCAAGGTTTTCAAAACTGGCCTTTTCTCCGGATTACCCGAGCTGAGAAAGCTGAACATGTCCCACAACAAGATTTTGACGTACGAGAAGACCGGCCTATTCCCATTGCATAGTCTCCACAACCTGGACCTGTCCTTCAACAACCTCACCGATCTAGACTACAAGCTTCTCATCGACCATCTCCCGGCCTTATCCCACATAGGTCTCGAGGAGAACTCGTTACCGTGCTACCTGAAGAAGGAGATGGAGGAGACCTTCAAGCACGACAATCTTATCTTCAGCCTGGGTGCGGACGCCGAAGACCCCAACTTTAAGTGCCCCACGCGAACGACCGTGGCTCCCGACGACGGACCAGACGACGAAACCAACGCGGTGACGGTCACCGCACCCGTTTACATGCAGACGTCCGACGGACACCAGTACGTGCTGTACGTCTTCGTGGCGGTCGCGTTAATATTAATGTCGCTCCTATTTTACCTGCAATATCGCAATCGTACCGAAATCACCAGGATCGTGGGGAGGACGAACGTGTCAGAGACGAGACTGATCTCCAGCGAGCTGGAGGACGGGGAGGCTTATTAACGTTAGGTATTAAATAAATTATGCAGCTTTGCCTATGTACCTTTAATAATAAATCGAATTTAGTATAAGTGCGATAGGACATTAAAATGTCTTAATGTGTTAAGGGCGCGGTTGCAAGTCATTACAGATTAATGGTGTTAAAAGGAACTATTAGTTAATGCTGTCAGGTATGGGTGCATTAATGGAGACAAATTTTTGCTTTACAAAGGTAAAGGCGTAAGTTATCTAAGAAAACAACTGAAGGATTTACTTAAGACTACAGCTGACTTCCGTAGTTTTTATTTCTACACTGAAGCGAAAAGAAATGAATTGATTTCTCGGAATAGTTTCGTGAATGAGGATTTTGACTCACCCGCGATTTTAATTTTACAGGTGTCTAACAAAAAAAAACAATCAACATCCTCCGCTAATTCACAGGTTTTTGACCGAACTTCGCTCACGGTTCAAGGCGCATAGCGTGAAGATTCTCCCCCAACAACCAACTACTACTTTACTTTTTTTATCGACACCCATCTCTCAGCTAAAACCTAAATCTACTCAACATAGTTTGAAGAATCCATGCTACGCAGCAAGCTCGGTAACGAGGACTGCAAAAAAAAGAAAATCTTGTAATCTGCAGTCAGAGCTGGGCAGTATTCGATTTTGTAAATACTTTTTAGTATTCAAATCTTTTAAAGTATTCAAATACTTTGTAATTAAATACTTTTATGGAAGCAGTATTTGTATTTGTAACTCAAATACTTTCACAAATATTTAGTATTCGAATACTTCGCATAGTATGAATATGCAAAACAATTCGTACTTTTTCGATCAGACTTCTCAATCAAAAGTTATAGACTAGAAACCAATTTCGAAAGAAAATTCAAAGGGCTGTAACTTTTGAACTAGTAGCCCAATCTTGGAACTGTTTGAAATTATGGATTCTACAGGCCACATTCTATAAGAAAAATTTTTTTCCGGGTCGATCTGAGACAATTTTTTTGCGGGCCTCAAAAAAAGGCAGTGTATAACCTTCCTTTTTTACCAAAAAACGACTGCACCAAAATTTCCCGGGAAAACACTTTTTCTTATTAATTTTGGTGCGTAGAATCCAAAACAATTCGTTCTTTTTCGATCAGACTTCTCAATCCAAAGTTATAGACTAGAAACCAATTTCGAAAAAAAATTCAAAGGACTGTAACTTTTGAACTAGCAGCCCAATCTTGGAAATGTTTGAAATTATGGATTCTACAGGCCACATTCTATAAGAAATTTTATTTTTAAATTTTTAATATATTTGAGTGACAAGTATTTGAATATTGAAATGTATCTGTATCTAGTATTCGCTTGTGCTGGAGGTAAAAGTATTTAGTATTCAAATACCTTTGATTTGTGTAAAGTATTTACTATTCAGTATTCAAATACTTTTTTAAAGTATTCTGCCCAGCTCTGTCTGCAGTACATCGTACGACTCAATGGAGCCACCGGCTTTCACACGTACTTAAAAAGGTCCGTTAGCGGGATCCCGTTACAAAAGCAAATACTATGCCTGTATGACCAGGTCGACCGAACAGAGGCGCTTTTTAATCGATATTGACACACAGTATCCAAAAAAAGCATATAAAAATCAGAATACTGAACTTAGATCTTATCGCGACAAGTAACACTTATACTGACTAGTAAAAAGCAAGAAGTATAGTACATACATCACCAGCACATTTTCATTTTCTTTGCAAATGGCTTTATTGGATATTGTAGGTAACAACTTTTCTTCTGCTTCTGTAACAAACCACTGACTGGGCGGCCTTTTGTATGTTTTAATAAAACTTATTTTATATCCAAAGACGATGATTTTAATAAACAAACTTCAAATGACATTTCCATGGCAATCATGCGAATAAGCAGCCCACTTAATCACAAATGTATTCGAGTGAAAAGTCGATATGATTTTATTTTTTATCCCTTATTTTTAAATTGTATTACAGGTATAATAACAAATACTATAAGAAACGCGTACATTTTACACTTGTTTCGCAACTATTGTAATACATTTTGGCCTGTAGCGCCCAAAAGAATTACAACTCAAAAAACATACCCCTCAAAGCATGGAAACATAAAATGAGAGTGAGCCAAGCTCTGACATTACACCTTACTCCTTAAAAAAAGTTCGAGACGCCGTTAATCGTAAACTAAGTTTTGTTGTAAATAAAATGATTGGTCCAAAAACTTTGTATGCCACCATAACGGAAACGCTTAGCTTAGTTTTGTTACAGATGAATTACCACCCCCTACTGTGCGTGCTGCTAGTGCTAACGTCGGCGGCGGCCCAACAGCCCGCAATGTCTTGCAGCTACAAAGGGCGCGGTTTTCTCACGTCCATTTGCGTTAATGCCATCCCATCCTTTTTCCGTACGACAGTCTACCGCTTCGACAATCTCGACGAGACGCTTCAGTGCGTCAACTGCACTTTGCAAGTCATCGAGAGCTACACCTTTGCCATATCCGGTAACCAGATCAAGCAACTTGATCTGACCGACTCAAAAATCACAGTTTTGAAACCGAAAGCCTTCATGGGGCTCGTCTTCTTGGAGACACTCAACCTGAAGGACAACCAAATCGTTTCAGTACCGGCAGAGACCTTCCAGGGCATCACCAAGGTGAAGGACCTGAACATGGAAAACAATCGGATTGATAAACTGCTGGCGAACGGATTTAAAGAGCTGACGAATATGCACAAGCTGAATTTGAAGGCCAACAACATTAAGAGTATCGAGGACGGTTCCTTTAACGGCTTGGGTTCCGTGGAAGAGCTCGACCTCTCCAACAACGAAATCACGACAATTAACGGAATCTTCACCGGTTTGGTTAGCGTGCGCTCGCTCAACTTCGAAAAGAACAAGATTTCGAAGCTCGATCCACTCGACGTCGAACAGCTGAACGTGCTCCTCTACCTGAACTTGGCCAGAAACAACCTGAAGGTCATTTCGAACAACACATTCCTGCAACTGCCCCGCTTGGAAACTCTAAACCTGTCCTCAAATCCAATTGAATCCGTCGAGGTCGGTTCGTTTCGCGGATTGGACGCACTAGAGGAGCTGGATTTGAGCAGCTGCCTAATTGAGAACATCCAAAAAGGGCTACTGCTCACCCTTCACCGGTTGCGCATACTGAATTTGTCCTACAACCGGCTCAAGGTTTTCAAAACTGGCCTTTTCTCCGGATTACCCGAGCTGAGAAAGCTGAACATGTCCCACAACAAGATTTTGACGTACGAGAAGACCGGCCTATTCCCATTGCATAGTCTCCACAACCTGGACCTGTCCTTCAACAACCTCACCGATCTAGACTACAAGCTTCTCATCGACCATCTCCCGGCCTTATCCCACATAGGTCTCGAGGAGAACTCGTTACCGTGCTACCTGAAGAAGGAGATGGAGGAGACCTTCAAGCACGACAATCTTATCTTCAGCCTGGGTGCGGACGCCGAAGACCCCAACTTTAAGTGCCCCACGCGAACGACCGTGGCTCCCGACGACGGACCAGACGACGAAACCAACGCGGTGACGGTCACCGCACCCGTTTACATGCAGACGTCCGACGGACACCAGTACGTGCTGTACGTCTTCGTGGCGGTCGCGTTAATATTAATGTCGCTCCTATTTTACCTGCAATATCGCAATCGTACCGAAATCACCAGGATCGTGGGGAGGACGAACGTGTCAGAGACGAGACTGATCTCCAGCGAGCTGGAGGACGGGGAGGCTTATTAACGTTAGGTATTAAATAAATTATGCAGCTTTGCCTATGTACCTTTAATAATAAATCGAATTTAGTATAAGTGCGATAGGACATTAAAATGTCTTAATGTGTTAAGGGCGCGGTTGCAAGTCATTACAGATTAATGGTGTTAAAAGGAACTATTAGTTAATGCTGTCAGGTATGGGTGCATTAATGGAGACAAATTTTTGCTTTACAAAGGTAAAGGCGTAAGTTATCTAAGAAAACAACTGAAGGATTTACTTAAGACTACAGCTGACTTCCGTAGTTTTTATTTCTACACTGAAGCGAAAGGAAATGAAATGATTTCTCGGAATAGTTTCGTGAATGAGGATTTTGACTCACCCGCGATTTTAATTTTACAGGTGTCTAACAAAAAAAAACAATCAACATCCTCCGCTAATTCACAGGTTTTTGACCGAACTTCGCTCACGGTTCAAGACGCATAGCGTGAAAATTCTCCCACAACAACCAACTACTACTTTACTTTTTTTATCGACACCCATCTCTCAGCTAAAACCTAAATCTACTCAACATAGTTTGAAGAATCCATGCTACGCAGCAAGCTCGGTAACGAGGACTGCAAAAAAAAGAAAATCTTGTAATCTGCAGTCAGAGCTGGGCAGTATTCGATTTTGTAAATACTTTTTAGTATTCAAATCTTTTAAAGTATTCAAATACTTTGTAATTAAATACTTTTATGGAAGCAGTATTTGTATTTGTAACTCAAATACTTTCACAAATATTTAGTATTCGTATACTTAATTTTGGTGCGTAGAATCCAAAACAATTCGTACTTTTTCGATCAGACTTCTCAATCCAAAGTTATAGACTAGAAACCAATTTCGAAAGAAAATTCAAAGGGCTGTAACTTTTGAACTAGTAGCCCAATCTTGGAACTGTTTGAAATTATGGATTCTACAGGCCACATTCTATAAGACAATTTTTTTCCGGGTCGATCTGAGACAATTTTTTTGCGGGCCTCAAAAAAAGGCAGTGTATAACCTTCCTTTTTTACCAAAAATCGACTACACCAAAATTTCTCGGGAAAACACTTTTCTTATTAATTTTGGTGCGTAGAATCCAAAACAATTCGTACTTTTTCGATTAGACTTCTCAATCAAAAGTTATAGACTAGAAACCAATTTCGAAAAAAATTCAAAGGGCTGTAACTTTTGAACTAGTAGCCCAATCTTGGAACTGTTTGAAATTATGGATTCTACAGGCCACCTCTAAAAGAAAATTTTTTTTCCGGGTCGATCTGAGACAATTTTCTTTTCGGGCCTCAAAAAAAGGCAGTGTATTACCTTCCCTTTTTACCAAAAATCGACTACACCAAAATTTCTCGGGAAAACATTTTTTCTTATTAATTTTGGTGCGTAGAATCCAAAACAATTCGTACTTTTTCGATCAGACTTCTCAATCAAAAGTTATAGACTAGAAACCAATTTCGAAAGAAATTTCAAAGGGCTGTAACTTTTGAACTAGTAGCCCAATCTTGGAACTGTTTGAAATTATGGATTCTACAGGCCACATTCTATAAGAAATTTTTTTCCGGGTCGATCTGAGACAATTTTTTTTTCGGGCCTCAAAAAAAGGCAGTGTATAACCTTCCTTTTTTACCAAAAATCGACTCCACCAAAATTTCTCGGGAAAACACTTTTTCTTATTAATTTTGGTGCGTAGAATCCAAAACAATTCGTACTTTTTCGATTAGACTTCTCAATCAAAAGTGATGGACTAGAAACCAATTTCGAAAGAAAATTCAAAGGGCTGTAACTTTTGAATTAGTAGCCCAATCTTGGAACTGTTTGAAATTATGGATTCTACAGGCCACATTCTATAAGAAAATTTTTTTTCCGGGTCGATCTGAGACAATTTTTTTTTCGAGCCTCAAAAAAAGGCATGTATAACCTTCCTTTTTTACCAAAAATCGACTGCACCAAAATTTCTCGGGAAAACACTTTTTCTTATTAATTTTGGTACGTAGAATCCAAAACAATTCGTACTTTTTCGATCAGACTTCTCAATCAAAAGTTATAGACTAGAAACCAATTTCGAAAGAAAATTCAAAGGGCTGTAACTTTTGAACTAGTAGCCCAATCTTGGAACTATTTGAAATTATGTATTCTACAGGCCACATTCTATAAGAAATTTTATTTTTAAATTTTTAATATATTTGCGTGACAAGTATTCGAATACTTTTTATAGTATTCGAATACATTCTAAAGTATTTGAATACTTTTCAATGTATCTGTATCTAGTATTCGCTTGTGCTGGACGTAAAAGTATTTAGTATTCAAATACTTTTTTAAAGTATTCTGCCCAGCTCTGTCTGCAGTACATCCTACGACTCAATGGAGCCACCGGCTTTCACACGTACATGAAAAGGTCCGTTAGTGGGATCCCGTTACAAAAGCAAATACTATGCCTGTATGACCAGGTCGACCGAACAGAAGCGTTTTTTAATCGATATTGACACACAGTATCCAAAAAAAGTATATAAAAACAGAATACTGAACTTAGATCTTACCGCGACAATAAAAAGCAAGAAGTATAGTACATACATCGCCAACACATTTTCATATTCTTTGCAAATGGCTTTATTGGATATTGTAGGTAACAACTTTTCTTCTGCTTCTGTAACAAACCACTGACTGGGCGGCCTTTTGTATGTTTTAATAAAACTTATTTTATTTCCAAAGACGATGATTTTATTAATAAACAAACTTCAAATGACATTTCCATGGCAATCATGCGAATAAGCAGCCCACTTAATCACAAATGTATTCGAGTGAAAAGTCGATATGATTTTATGTTTTATCCCTTATTTTTAAATTGTATTACAGGTATAATAACAGATACTATAAGAAACGCGTACATTTTGGCCTGTCGCGCCCAAAAGAATTACAACTCAAAAAACATACCCCTCAAAGCATAGAAACATAAAATGAGAGTGAGCCAAGATCTGACATTACACCTCAATGATCCTTAAAAAAAGAATTATTGCAGATCGACCGGAAAAAGACCTAGGTTTCGCAGAAATTAATTACAATATAGTAAACGAAAAAATACTGGAAGAAATAAAAGAATTTAAAGTAGTAACACGGATAGAATCGAACCACCAATCGATGGAAATAAGTCTAAAAAGAAAGACAAAAAGATGAAGAAATCAAGGAAGATACAGTTATGGTCCATATGAAGATAAGAAAGAAACGGAAAGATTCAAGAAAAGAAGGGAGATGTAGATATGGACAAGAGACACTGTGGAGACTTATAGAAAGAGACTAGATGAACAAGAAGAAGAAATAGCAAGGAGTACAGAGGAGGAGTAGAACACTGAAGGGTAGTAAAAGGCAATAACGTGAAAACAGGTAAATTATGAGTAAGGGAGAGATAATAGGAAAAAAGGGGTGGGAGAGAGTGTACAGAAGAGAGAAACCGATATACAATAGTGATTGAGAAAGAAAGAAAAGGAGAGATAGAGGAGAGGTTGAGAGAATAAAAAAAAGTACAAAAGAAAATGTAGGGAAAAAAGAGGGACAAACAGAAAGAGTAAGAAGAGCAAATCAGGGAAATAAAAACAGCCAAGGACCTTTAAAGGAAAGGAAAAACAGAACATATGGGCGAGAAATAAAAGCAGAGGACCTAAAGCGGCTCTAGATTAAGGTACTATAAGGAAAGGAGGAGAAGTGGGAAGCGGGGCGGTAGACGAGATGTCAAAAAAAGAAAAAAAATTCCTCTTATGTGATGGTTTGGTCCGTCTGTCTGTCCCTCTGTTCCTCGCCTAACTCGAGAACGAAAGGCGACCTCGACGTGAAATCTTCGCCAATCAATTTCTACGAGTTCAAGGATTAGTACTATTGAATATGAGCCGGATTGAAAGTCTGCTTTTCGAATACGAGCTGAGTGGTAACAAATTCCCTGACTGTAAATCGTATGCGATTCTTAGTATCTTGTAGAGTATATTTATAGAGTATGTATGCAATAATTACTCGCGCTCTAAACCAAGAAATAAGTGGAAATCGTTGCGTCCCTGCATAGTTCTTACAAATTTTAAATTAGAGCTTTCTACCTGCTGCCGTAAGTATAAACTTTGAATCTCTCTTCCTTGGGAGTGCCGTTTGAAAATCTGAACAGCCACAATTTCCAATTTCAAAGTTTGCCTGTTTACTAACAAAAAGTTCGGTCGAACATTTCCACGGGAGGGTGGAAAATTTTACGATGTGGAATACGAAATTGTATGAATGAGATACTAATATAGGGATTCCGGGCTAAGGGAGAGATCGATTCAGGTCCCGTCACCACCTGCTGCTGGGGTTGCTAACTGCCCTACTTTGTGTCTTTCTCCCTATACATTCACTTAAAATAGGCCAAGGGCGGCTCGCTTTTCTTTACAAATTCTCTCTCGGAAACGACAATTAGGTAACTTTTCTCGTTATTCGATTATTCGTCATACAACCCCCCCCGTTCCAAACTAACGAGCCATTCAGGCTTGTTCCGCACGAGCTTTGTTTTTAAAGACGCATGTGCATCTTAAGTCACGTGTGCATTTAGGTACTGTTGCATGCACGTGCGAATGCAGCGAGTGCAGTATGCACGATGCTCCTTTCGTACGTGGTGATCGTCGTCGCGGTGCTGGTGCACTACAACGCTTTCGGCCGGCGTCATTACAATTCAGGTGAAGTCGACGATAAAATCGTGGTGGATTCCGCTACCGGCATCGCTTATAACCCCTACAGCAAGCACCATCCTGGGTAAGTTTTTTTTTTCTTTCGCAAATTGGTAACCAGAAGGAGATTTATGCTAATTACGTTATTTTCGCGAATCCAATTATTTTTTCGGGGGATCTTTAATAAGCAGGTAATTATCCCAGAGGGAAGGCCTTCACCTTCCACGAAGATTTTTGGCATTAAAAATTGGAGGTTGTCGCTACCTGATGGATGTCACCTTTGATTATAATCAAAGGGTGTCGCTTTTCGAAATTTAATGGTAAATTTGAATAAAGCAGCAATTTATATTGGCGCGCGAAGGGGTCGGCACTAATTTTTACTATAAATTTAAGAC